GCTAATTGCTCGCAGCATCAGTGGTCCATCCGCGGATCCGTATGCCGAGAGCAATGCTGGCACGACTGACGCACCATCCGGTGATTCGCAGTGATGCTGCCAGATGACGCTGCGCACCCCAGAGCAGAGCTGGGGCTGGGCAGCAGATGGGTGCTGTCAGGCCCCGGGCCCCGTGCAGGTGCCCACACACCCCTCTGCCCAGCGCTCGCTGTTAGTGCACCGGCGCCGGGCAGAGAGGGGCCAGTGAAACCATCCCGGGCATATTTTGCTTGTAGAAAGTGAATGAATGGCTTTTACCAGGTTCATGCAGTCGCTATGTGTTTTGACCTGTCAGGAGTTGTTTCAGAACAAGTGTACTTTTTTTTTTTCCTTTCATTTTTTTTTTCCTGCTTAAACTGTGAATTCCATATCAGGTACTAACAAACATGGCTCATCTCAAAAGAATTCATAATTAACTAAAAGAATTCATAATTAACTTCCACTGCAATTTGTTTGGGTCTTTCTTTACATAAGATATAAACTCTGGTGGGAATTTGAAATGCTCTGAAGCATACACTGTCTTCTGTGTAACTGCTGCTGAGCCTACAGAAAAGCTAACCTGCTGTAACTGCACAGTGTGTTTGTATATTAGAGATCTCTGACAGACCTGTTTTTCTTTTTCTCTTTTTCTTCCTTGTCTTCTTTCTGCATTGGCAGAGCATCTTGGATTTGAATTAAAGGGTATGGAACAACCATTCATTTATTAATCAGAAGCCATTAAAAGCTGCCCACATTATATTTATGGCTTTAATGGGATGATTAAAAAATCAGCTATTCTGTTCTCTTCCCTGGCACCAAGATAGATGTTTGCATTGAAAAAAAAAGAACAAAACAAAACAAAGTAAAACACAAAAGCTAATTGCAAACCTATAAAAAAAAAGCACGTGTATTTTTAGCAGCACTTTTTTCTTTGTTTCCAGCAGCAGCCTGGTGTGTGTGGCGTGACTGGGATGTTATAATTGCCATATGTCTCCTCATTCAACATGCTTTTGTGTATTTAACTGAAAAGCTGGAGTTTGTGTCCATCGAAAAGGTTGCCAGGGGGCAACTTGGGAACGGGCAGGCATTCCAGGGACAGGAAGGCAAGTTTTAGGGAGATCAGGGCTTTTATAGAAATTGCCATCCCAGAAGCACTAACCTCCACTGGATCCTACAGAGGGTCAGGACGAGCTTTGTCGTTCCTCCTCCCAAAGGTTAGCGGCTTATTTTGGTTCTTGACCAGGAGGAAGTTGCTACAAGAAAGGTGGCATGAGACGAGTTAGTCTAGAAAGCAGTGAGCCCAGAGATGTCAGTAGTCTCCCAAGAGAGTGGAGGGTATAATGTTGAGCATCATGGCAGCAAGCTGAAGTTTGGAAAAACACTGCAGTAACTTAAATGCTTTTAAAAACCTTATCTTTGGACAATTACCTGCTCCTGCCCAGTTGCTCATAATCGTATTATTTTTCTTCCATTCTCCTCAGACTGCTTTTAGAGATGTATCAAATATCTCTTGAGTAACCTTGGAAATCAAATCCGTGAGGGTAGGTTTCCCTTGGGTGTACAGGCCAACCTTGGGGAGGGCTTGGTCAGATGAGAGCAGAGGGATTTATCTTTATCACTTAACTTAAAAACATTGACTTGGCAATGTCAACTAGAGTAGATCTTCATAGGAAGACGCTTCAATTCCATTTCCTAGAGGTATGGGGACACCAGTCTTTCACTTCTGGATCCTAGATTGTCTTCGCAGGTTCCTGAAGTGAAGGGCCATGCACTAGTTGAAGCTGGAGAAACTTGTCTCCTCTGTTTTTTTCATGCCCAGTCCATGAGGATTGGTGTGTATCCCCCAGCAGCTCTTCCTTGCTGCAGAAAAAAATGTGCATTTTGTGGTCAGGTGATTCAGAGAAAGTGGTGCTGCTAATGCTAATACACTTAAATAAACTTTAAAATTGAGGATTTTTGACATCCCTTTTTTGTTGACCTTTCGTCCTTTTCCTCATCCATTCTCAATGTCATCACAGAACTGCACACATCCTGTTCCCAGTCTGCAGTCGTCTCTTCTCTGTCATTTGTCTTTCATGCATTGCTGTGACACCCATGGCTGGACTGTGATGCTGTCGGCATTGTGTGGCACCACATGGTTTGTTCATAGTGTTTGCTGCTGTAGAGTGACGATGATGCTGATGAAGACGTGGTGTTTGTAGAGCATAGAGACACAAATGGACAAGTCCTGCTCCAGGATCTTAGCTTCTCAAAATTGTAGTGTGCAGTCTCTTTCTTTCTGTTACTGCTGGTATGGTTTTGTGTAACATGAAGATACTGTGTTATTGAGCATCAACTTTAATGATATGTTAGGAGCCAAGCTAAATTACTATCAGCAGGTCATTTAATTTTAATTTTGCAGCAGTGACGCACAGCCTTGCACTTCACTGCTTCCCACAGCAGAGCTGTCAGCTCAGGACAGAGAGGCTAAATCCGCATTCCTGATGAACTGAAACATTCCCCATGCAGTTCAGGTGAAGGACAGTCAGATGTACCAGAGTCAGGGTCCCATGCTGACATGATCACCAGAACAGAGACTGTGGTTTGAGCCTTTGGCAAAATTTTGTCATGTAGGTAGTAGGTAAAAAAAAACCAAAACAACCATAGTTCTTGCTCTTTCTCCTTCATGATTCAAAGAGGATGATTTATGATTGGGGAAAAAAAAAGTCTTTGTGGCAAAAAACATAGCTGGTGAAAAATCTTTGAAAAAATTGGCTTGATGGATGTGTCCATGGGTCCAAAATTCTTGCCTGGTGCCATCCATAAACATGACAGGATCCTAGCTGGTTACCAGATTCTGATAAAATCTCTGAAGCTTCTGTCTGAAGGAAAGAGCTGTACAGCTGGAATCCAGGTCCCAGAGGCATGCAAGAGCAAGAAAACTTGTCTGCCATGGTTGCTGATGCCTGGAGTAGGGCATCCATGCAAGGGAAACACATTGCTGAAGGAGATGTTTCACCCCATAGTGAGTTCTTTCCCCGTGCCGGCCCCACCTGGTTCCTTGTAGTAAAACACAAGGAGTATCAGGTCAGCCAGCACCCACACCCTTCCTTGTGGGCAGCTCCCAGGCCGTACAGGCTCTGGCTCTGAGGAGGCTGGTGAAGCTGCTGTGGCACAGTAACTTTCAGCCCAAGTGAGACCCATCACCTGTTGTTCCTGGTCCACACCACCGTGGAGATGGAGTCTGGGAAAGTCTCAGCTGTCTGCCTCTCTGGTCACTGGTGGGACATTGCCTGCTTGGCACCTCCACCTGCACCCTGAGCGCCTTATGAAGCCAAAGGCCAGTGCAGAAACAAAACCGATGGAAATGTATTTCTTTAAATTGTAGCTTTGTAGCACAGGCATGAAGCAAGCTCTGCTGATTATGTTTTGAATCTTCCTGAAAGGGCTGTCATTCTCAGCCCTTGTTTAGCAAAAGTTTCTTTATTCCCGTTTTGAGTAGAAAGATAAACATTTTTTCCTAGTGCTTATTTTTCTTCCAAAAATGCCTTCTTGCTCCTAAAATGGCAAGGTGAAATTGATCTAAGTATTCAGATATGTAGAATTTTTCATTTCTTCCCCCTTGCTTTTTTGCTAAAGTCTAGTCCAAGGGCTTTCTGGGACCAGATCTGTTTCTCTTCTGTTTTTGTATTTCATTGCTTGGTAGCACTGAGGATATCATATAGTCCATTCGAGGTATTTAGTGTGGTATGGTGACCCATGGGTGGTGAGCACAGCAACCATGGCATGAGTTTTATTGCCTAATCTATATGAAAAAATATTTAAGTGAATATTAAAGAAGTGACAAAACCCAGTGACTTCGGCATTAACACATAGTATGGGGGCAGGAGACCATCGTTGATAGATGCTGAACTAAAATGCTCACGGCAGCTGTGCAGTGAATCTTTCTTTCAGTCATTCAGCTGAAGAACCAAATTGCCCCTGCTGATTTCAGTGGAGATTGCTAGATATCATTGAGAAGAGCATCTGCTCTGGTGTAGCCAGAAAGGAAGAGGTGTCTTAGCCCTGTGATTGCTGCGTAGGTATAGTTCAGCTGCACTGCAAGTGACATCCTAGTGTTTCCTTGGAGCTTTGATTAATGTGAATGAATTAATTCACTTCCAGCATGGGCTGGGTTTTGATGCAAGTGATTGACTTTTCTGTTTTGGAAGGGGGTCCATGACAAATGGTGATATTTGAGAGAAGCAGCAGCATGCTGTTTGAATTTTGTGTGTGCATCTGAGTTACCTGGTGCAATGGAATTAATTGTTTGCTAGGGTTTAATTAAAAATCCATAACTCTAATTGGTTACTGTATTTTAATTACTCTACTCCCTTTTCTTTGTCTAATGCGCTATCACTTTTCCATCCTCATTCTGCTTTTTGACTGTTTTAGGGTGTCCCTTTCAGCCCCTACATGCTTTGGAGCCTGTTGCTTGGCAGTTTCTAGCACACGGCCGAGCTCCAGGGCATGCAGCCGCTGCAAGGAAAAGGCATTCTGAGTGCGTCAGAGCAGAGAGCCTGTGATGAGAACATCACAGGGCATGCATGTACATGGTGAGTGGGGGATGCTCGGGGACTTCCTTGGTAGACTACTAAGTTACCGAGAAGGGAGGATCTGCTGGAAGGGAAAGTCATGGGGTTTTTGAGATCAGTTACCAAGTTATGCTGCGGGAAGAGAAGAGAAAGCAAGAAGCGTGTTTGAGCGCAGAAGGGTTGAACTACTGAGCAAGAGAGGACTAAGATGCAGAGAGACACAAGGAGTGAAGGTCTCTTGGGTGAGTAAGGTTGGGCCAGCTGGTCTCAGGATTGGGGCAGCTATTAGAGACGGGCAGTGGATTGGTAGGAGGTTTGACTCAGCCCTGTTTTCCATCTTACCTGCACGCAGTGCTGGTTCCTGAGCAGCCAGACACAACCCTGGTGCTGGAGCCCATTTGTAACTAGTTTCTTTCTCTCCATTTGCAGAAGCGGAAGAGCTCTACCAGAAGAGAGTTTTAACCATCACAGGAATCTGTGTTGCCTTGCTTGTGGTGGGCATCGTCTGTGTGGTAGCTTACTGTAAAACCAAGTGAGTATGGGTGGTTGGCAGACAATAGCTGGCCAGAAGTACTGAGTGGTAGTATTCATGCTTCACTCTTTCATGCTTTTCACCCAAATGCTGTTTTAAGGAGATCCTGTGCCGTGATATTCCCAGGAAGGCCTCATGAAGGGGGCCAGTTGAAGCCATTTCCCATGCTGTGTCTGAGCAGGATGTTTTCCTGGGACCATTTGCTTATCCCCTGAATCAGCACCATTTTGCCCAGCCAGGTGATGCTGCGTTACTGGAAAAAGCTGGTGTCCAAGCCAGCAGCTCATCTCCTGAGAGCGGGAGCAGGAGCAGACTGGACTGTTGTGCAGGAGTGGTTGCCTCAGCTATGTACATTTTGGGACTTTCAGAGCAATCTTGATGGAATAAGAGTCTTGGGAATCTCTTTGATGTCCAGCCTTCCCTGCCTGGACGGCACCTTTTTCCCTACTTAGCCTGCACCTCACCTCAATTCAGGGTGCCCCCAGGACACAGCAGGTCTTGTGGAGTGGATGCCCTGCCAGGGACATGGGGAGGCTTTGCCACCTTGTGCTTAATGCAGGATAGGTCAAGTGCCTTGCCACCAAAGCCAAACAAGGACCCACTTCCCTTTTTCCCTCTCCCAGCTTTTCTCCTCCGCTCCCAGTGCCTTGGTGTCCCTGGCTCCACCACATTGTTCTGGGCTCTCTCTTACGAAATGGGACTCTGGACCCAGCTTCCAAAACTGCCCATGATGAGAAATGCTCACCTTTTTTTTTTTTTTTTTGAAAAAGCAGCAGAAGGTGGCAAATGTTGAATGCATTGTTTCTTCCTGTTTGCAGCTTTCCACAAACACTATTGAAACATCAAATGTGTCTGAGAATTGCCTTCTCTATGGTCTGCATCACCCAGGTGTCTCTGAGGGCAGAGACCCCCATGAGATAGGTCTTCCTAATAGATTTTTTTCCTTTCTGTTTTAAAGGAAACAAAGAAAACAAATGCATAATCATTTACGGCAGAACATGTGCCCTGCCCATCAGAACAGGAGCCTTGCAAATGGGCCAAGCCATCCACGTTTGGATCCTGAGGAAATCCAAATGGCTGATGTAAGAACTTTGGTCTCCATCTCTCTGCATGTTACTGAGTACCTATTTTCTGCCAGAGATGTGACATGAATGTGTGTGCTTACACACCTGTGTGCATGTGAATGAGAAGCAAAACCCGTAACAAACTTGAACAAAAAGATGAGATTCTGCCAAAACCAACATCTGAAGGGAAATGCGATTTTACTTTGAAGATCAGGATGAGATTAAGACACTTGGGACAGGCTTGTTTTGATGAATCAGGCATGATCCTGTTTTCCTCTGAGAGAGATGTTCCCAATGTTTCCTGTTTATTAAGCTGTCCCGTTAAGCCCTACTTTGTGGCATGACGAATGCAATCAGGGCGGCAGTGACTGGAGCTGCTGCCATGACCGTGTGTCGTGCTGAAGCATCTCCTGGTGATCTGGTCAGCACCACGTTAACCCACCTACCTGTACCAAGAGTTGCATCTTGGGCAAGGTGGGATGTCCTGGTGGGGTGCCAGTGTTACACCAGTGAGAACTATCTGAGAATTTAGAACCAAATCCAGAAGGGTCATTCAGCCACTTCCATGACTTCAGTCACATGAGATTCCCATCAAACTCTGTGAACTCAATAGGACCATCAGTGTGCTTAAGTGCCTTGCTGGACCAAGGCATTGAAAGGGGTCAGAAAAAGGGAGGTGGGAGGGAGAGACAAATGAAAGGAAGTACTGATGGAAAAGAGTACAATAAATCAGTTACAAGCAATACTGGGTCACCCTTTGGATGTTAAAATGTAGTTAGGTTGAATCCCAGCCATGAAGAAAGAGAGAAAGGGAATTGCTAAGAACCCTCTAGCCGCAAAGTACTGACTCCCCCAGAGAGCTTAGTGTCCCTGTGAAAAGCAGTGCTTCTTGTTAGATGGAGGAATATCTCAGCATAAATATTGGATTACACCTGGTGTTTCCATAGGTTTCGTATCTCTGTCAGATCTCATGAGGTTAACTTTTTGCTTATACTCTCTTGGGTGTGTAACCTCCTGTGAGCAGAGAAGTTTTTCTGCTCAGTAGATACACGTTGTACCACTGTCCTCAGGGGAACCCCTTGGCTCTTCATACGCTTCTGCAGTCCCTGTGCCATGGCCCGTTTTCAAAGTGTTCTATGTGCAAGGGCAGAAAACAACCTCCAGCCTCCTTATCTCTTTCCTTGGGGTATGGAGCTACTGGGTTCACTCAGTCCTTGTCTGAGTTCACCAGAAATAATCAAGCCAGATGAATTTGGCTGTGACAGTGCTGGCAAGCTGGTGGCTGATCTGTGTGATTCTTCCTATTTTACAGTACATTTCAAAGAATGTTTCTGCCACCGAGCATGTGATCCGAAGGGAAACCGAGACAACCTTTTCGGGAAGTCACTCCTGCTCCCCTTCTCATCACTGCTCTACAGCCACTCCAACGTCCAGCCAGAGGTGATGTATACCATCTTCCCCTGAACTTTCTCCTGCTGTTTGCCTTAGGATGCTGTGAGGTTCAAAGCCAGTAAAAGTTTTTTTTCACCTCCCTTTCTGTTTTCACTTGTTGCTTGGCACTACACTGGCACACAGGCCGTGTTGACACTGTGGGCCTTTGCTGGCACAGCGAGGTAGTGACAGGTGCGGAAAAGTGTGATCCTTGACCTGCAGCGAGGTGCCAGCAGGAACCTGCAGTGCTGACATAGCTGGAAACTAGGAGGAAATTAAGTCATGCTTTCATGCTTTGCACAGACACAAGTGGGAGGATACATCTAGGAAAGGTTTTGCAAGTTGGGGTTGCAACCACACTGGACACCTGAAAAAAATCATTTAGCACATACAGGTTATTCATGTCATTCTTGATATATTTAGAATGCATTTTCCTTGTGGAAGGCAAAGTACACAAAATACCACAACATGTTTTGGCCAGTTCCTCAGAGTTAGGGTATGACTTGAGAGTCACAGTTTTTCACCACAGCAAACAGTCCTGTGCAATTTATCACAGTCCAGAAAGTTGCATTAGAATCTCAGCCTCTGAGGTGGTGGCACCTCTTTCACTGGAAGTCTTTCTGAAGCTCTCAGGAAAACTGGGGCTAGCAGAAGAGTACCAGTAATTCTTGCTACACAAGCAGAGGTGTAGGTTTTTTTACATTTCAACATAGCCGGTAAGGGGAAGAGAAGCATGGTTTGGAAGCCAAAGTTCTCATGGTTTTTGAAAGCATTTAAATTGCAGATTGAGTTTTCCTATTACCATGATGTCCAGAAAAGTCCTTCAAATGCTCTAGAAAAAGTCCTGTGCTGTTTCAAGTTTGGATGTTCAGGTTCTTCCTCTTACACAGCTCTTGTGCTTCTTCCAGCAAGTGATGGTGTTTCCCTAGGACAGCACTTGACTTTGAAAAGTGACAAAGGCGTGCGGGGGGGCATATCTACAGCCTGTCAATGACATATAGATCACCTTGCATTGACTTTACAAAGCAAAAGATATCCTGGCTTATTTACTTCATTAGTCCAATGTCTTTGTCTCTATTTGTCCAGGAAGCAATGAATCTTTTCAGCTAAAGCTCAAGGATGGCTCCTGGCAGGTTTCTTCAGGGTTCAGGTGTCATTGATGTACAATGCATCAGATCAACTTTAGATATTGAACTTAGGTTTTCAGGTGAATTTCACCTCAGACTCCTCTGGCTAGACTTCCAACAATTAATGACTTGCTGGGCTGGAAATTGCTACCTTTGTCTAGGGAAATCCTACCCCTGGTGAGCTAGACAGTGTGTTTTCCAGGTTTGTTTTTTTTTTTTTAATTCCTACTCTGCAGCCCAGCCAAGGCTAGCTGTGTGCAGGCCTGAGCCAGGCGCGCAGAGGCTCCCGTGCCTGCAGAGCTGCACCTTGCTGGCCTTCCATGCTACCTTCAAGGTCCTGGGACCCTGGGGCCATCTCTGGGCACCTCCTGAAGATGCAAAGGTGTGTGTGGAGGGCAGCAATAGCTTGTGACAGCTGTGGGGAGGCACCTACCTTGCATAGCCTCTCGTCCTGGCTACCTGCCACCTAATCTTCCTGAGTCAAGTGCAGCAAGCAGGTGTTTCTTGAAGTCATGCCAGAGGCAAACTTCTGACATAATCAGGCTCCATTTCACTCGATCAGTGCCTCTAATGAGGATGCCGTTTGAAGTTATAAATGAGTGTGGTGGTTGAAGCTGAGCATGTGTCTGGAGCCATCAATAATTAACAAGTTCTTGGGAAGTCTTAATGAGGCCTGCTCTCCTCTGCAAACCCCAACCCAAAATCCTCTGCTGGGACAGTTCCACCTGGTGCAGTTTGGGAGTCCAGAGCTGTTGCTCTAATGGATCACATATTTCTGCTATGGAGAGGGATCAGCCTGGTGGCCGTGATGCAGGTGGGCCCCCTGGTGTGCCCATGGCCTTATTGAGTCCTTGTGGGATGTCTTCTTTGCACCAAGACTAGGGCAGGTGGAGCTCCAAGGGCTCAGCAAGGTCTAGCCAACATATGAAAAGCCACCTCGAAAGTGTTTTGTTGCCAAAATCTTTTATAAACCAGTGGAAACTGAACATCTAGGTCTATCTATGGTATGCTTTTCTCTGCTGCTGATTAAGTAATTATGAGTTTTTTCTGGCTCCTTTCTGGTAGCATTTCTGAAGGGACTGTCACTTGGCAATGCAGATGGCACATTTAAATATCCTTTGTGGATTTGCCTTGGCACAGCCAGTGCATTGCTCCACACCCAGAACACTTTGCAAGCACAGAGCAGAGTTTCCCTGTCCTCCCTCCAGAGGCCATCCTGTCCTGTTCCTGTTGTCAGGAGGTGGTGTGATAAATAGCCAGTATGCGCTGGTCTGCCTTTCTTCACCCTCTAATCATAGCTCCAAGAAGTAGCAAAGAAAGGCAGATCAAAGGCAGGATTGTGAAGCTGGGCATCCTTGGCCAGATGAATCCTAGTGGGAGAGTGAGAGGGGACATCAGTGCAGAAAAGAGCGTGAGCTGTGTCTACATGCAGCTCTTTGGAGAAGATCTTAGAGGAGTTACTTGCTCACTGTCCCTATGGGGTTTGGTCCACAGACATGAAAGCCACACCTGGAGCTTGGAGCGGACGGAGAGCCTGACTTCAGATTCCCAGTCTGGGATAATGCTGTCCTCGGTGGGAACCAGTAAATGCAACAGCCCTGCATGTGTAGAGGCACGGGCTCGCCGCGGGGCCGCTTTCTGCATCGAGGACTCGCGGAGGCCCATGACACAGTATCGGGACTCGGTGGATTCTCTGCGGGACTCACCGCACAGCGAGAGGTCAGACCCCACTGCTTGGTGCTGCCCTGGAACAGCAGAGGCAAGCTATGCCCTTTGCGCCAGACACAAAAATGTTTGCCAAGCCCTAGAGCAGCAGTCCCGTGGTAGCACTGGAGAAGCTCCAGCTCTGGTCCTACCAGAGGAAGCCACTACCCCAGGAAACCACTCTGGTAGCGACAGCAGCAAGCACTGCACCCTGCTCACCTGGTGGCAGCACAGGTTTGGAGCACAGGGATGAGAGGAGCGGAAAATACCTGGCTGCAGTCAGCAACCGGTGAAGAAAAACTGGCTGAGAGCACCAGCTTAGTGGGTTTGCAGCTCAAGCAGAGTCTGGCGTCAGGTATATGTGGAAAAGATGCGTGTCCTCAGCGAAGTCCTAGATGACCGGGTGAGCCAAGGGGTACTGTATGGCACAGCCTTGGGACAGGGCTCTGTATCAACCAGTCTTCAGGGGAATGCAACTGCAGAGCTGAGACAGCATCAGCCAGTGAGAGGCAGCAACAGTCATCCCCTTCCCGGGTTTGGTTCCTCAGGGTGCAGAAACACATCTCTACCCTTGCTCCAGTCCTTTGTGGGTAGCTGTGGGCACCCTTGGGTGGCCACTTTCCGGCAGCTACCCTTCAAGGCAGTGGGACTTTTCCATGGGGAAGAGGAGACAGGCAGCATCTCCTGCTCTCTCCTTCCTGTCCCCAGTCCGTTCAGGCAGGCTGACCCAGCTCCTACAGAGGTCTTGTATTTCACGAGACACACAGGTAAAATGGCACCAGATGAGCCAGGGAGCCTGAGCAGCCTGAAATGACCAGAGACACCAATTGGCACTATTGAGAGGAAATGAAATCTGCTTCTTAGAAAGAGGTGATGCCAAAGGAAGGGCTTCTTTGGGGGGGGGGCTAGACCAGGTGTGAGTTGCCACACTGATGTTGTCACTGGAGTAGATGGAAGCAGTAGACGTCTTTCTAAGACACAAGATTTTTGCTAAGTCAGAGGAAGCAATGTCCAGGCTTTCCCCATCTGTGGCCTGATCAGGGGGAGGGCATTTCGAGGACCTTCTTTGGAGACAAACCTGGCATCTCCAGAGAGAACAGAAAGCAGCTGGCAGGCAGACAAGAGGGAGGGAAGTCTTGTCTTAGCCTGCTGGCAGATGCTGCAAGGTTTTCAGTGGTGCAGGGTGGGAATTGCACACCGAGTCCCTTGGGAGAGGCACTCCTGGGATGCATGGTGCGCAATGCCCAAGTGCCCACCAAAGGCAGCAGCTCATTCTCCCTCAGCACAGTGATGCAAGGTCCCTCTTCCTGGTCCCTGAGGAGATGCCAGCTCCGAGACCAGGTGCACTGGAGACCTCATGGGTCGCTGCGCCAGGTGTTTGGCAGAGTGTCGGCACAGCTGGAGGTTTTTGGCGTCGTTCAGTGTCCTAACAGAGGTGTTACTTCTTCCAGGTACGTGTCGGCCCTGACCACACCAGCACGCCTGTCGCCTGTTGACTTCCATTACTCGATGGCCACACAGGTGCCCACCTTCGAGATCACCTCCCCCAACTCGGCGCACGCCGTCTCCCTGCCACCGGCGGCCCCCATCAGCTTCCGTGTGGAGGAACAGCAGCCCCTTCTGCGGCGGTACCAGCTCCCCTTCCAGGACACACAGAGGTACGACAGCTACTACCAAAGGAAGACCTATCTAAACGACAGCATGGGGAGCCTGCCCTCCAGCCCCTTCCGCATCACGGAGGACGACGAGTACGAGACGACGCAGGAGTATGTCACAGCGCTAGAGCAGCCAAAGAAAACAGCCAGCAGCAACAGGCGGTGGAAAAAATCCAAACTGAACGGGCACGTCCCTCACAGAGCCAGAGCCATCCGGGACTCCTTCTCCTTGAGCAGCGCCTCTTACAGCGAGTCTGACGAGGAGCTGGTGGCCGAGAGCACCCCCTTCCTAAGCACTCAGAACAATGAGGCGGCCCACACGGAGTCGCCGCCGCTGCACCGGCCGGGCGACAGCCGGACTCACCACTCCTGCAGCAGGCACAGCGCCCACGGGGAGAGCGGGCGCAGCAGCCTGGGGCACACGGCGCCCAAACCGGACCCCCACCCTCTCTAGGCGCCTCCCAGGCTCTCGCACCCACAGACCTAACCCGCATGGAGGAGGCCGAGAAGGGAGACGAGACAGAACAAAACAAAAAAATAAATATTTTTATTTTATATAAAAGAGGGAAAAATATAACAAATAAAATGTTTTATTTTCATTTTAGCAAAGTTGTCTTATAATAGCTAATGGCAATGACTTTTTTATAGGGAATCTCTATTTATATGTAATGTCTTGATTTACAGCTTCCAAGAAAAAAAAAGTTAAAAAAATTTAAAAAAAAAAAAGAAGAAAAGAAAACAAACAATAAAGTTAAAAAAAAAATGGGCCAATTTTTGACTACTTAAAAATAGAAAACAAAACTATCATGGTGCCTTTTGCTGTATGCTAGTGCTGGGATTCATGCTGAGGATTCTGTTTCAGTAGCATTTTTAAGATCATAGATTTTTGTTTGGGAGACAACCGTCACAAGGGCACTCTTCCACTGGAAGAAAACAGCCTCGCCACTTTGCCCTGTACCCCACTATTAATGATCTTATTCTTTGAGGTATTGTTTAAACACACATCAAGGACATGAGTGGGAGCATTTCCATTGTCATGTCTACTGGGGATCTGTCTTGCCCTGTGAAATACCTGTAATTTCACTTAAATCAGGAGAAAAAGAAACCCAACAGCACCATACTGAAATGCAGAAATAATGTTTCTTTTGCCACACAGATAGGGAAGAGAAAAAGAAATCGCACAGCAGCAGCAGCCCTTACAATATAGCTCTCAACCTCTGCCCATTTCACCCCTGGGTCTGAAGCTGGGTTGGCACAGGTTTGTGGTCTGACGAGGCGGACAGTGTGTGAAGGTGCTGAGGTGGAACCCCATCACGTACGGTTGAATCCAGTTCACTGAAGCCAGCCCTGGCAGGCGGGGGGCACTGCCCTGCTCCCCACCCGGCCGCGGTGCCCTGTGGCTGCGTTGCCCTCCCGGTGCTGTGCTGGCCGCGGGCTCCCCTTCGCCGAGCGGTGTTGGCCGTGGTGCCCCGTGCCACGGTGCCGTGGGGCTGCTGGGGCTGGGGCGTCCCGCGTGCTGCGCTCGGCTGCAGTTCAGGCGGTGCTGGGAGGATGCCTGGAGGGCAGCCCCGCGGCACAGCACGGCCACGGCTTGCCCTGGACAGTGTGCCAGAGAGCTGCCGGCCATGCTGCCCCGGGGTTTGGAAGGAGCCTGAGCACTTTTGGCCCTGCTTGTCACCCCTGCATTGGCCAGGAAGGGCCCTGCGTGGGGCAGCCCAGTGAACGGATTCTTCTGTACTGCCGTGCCGTGTATTTTAAAGATGGTTGTTACCATCACGTCTTGCCATTGGTGACGGACGTCGCGTTTCCAAACTCGGAGCAGCTCTGGCCATTGGCTCTGTGGCGCAAAGAGACAGTCCTGCGTGTCCAGGCGGCAGAGCATCCCCATGGAAGTGCCCCTCTCTCCTCAGTTCTCTGCAGCAAACCTGTTTACATTGTAGCCTGACTTTTTTCTTTTTATATTTTTACTTCTGCATGTCCTTTGCATTTCAGATACTGTAGATTGGATGCATGGTGAAGCTGTGACTGAGAAGATAATACAACAATTGACAGTGTATTTCATTTAACTTTTAGCAATAAAGTAACTAAACCCTCTATTCCTCACCCATGATGGGGTCAGATAGAAAACTCTGCTAATTTGTCATAAGATGATTGTCAAAGTTTGCTCTGGATTGTCTGAATGTCAGAACTCTCGACTGTTTAACACTTGAACATTTTTTATATTATAAATAAAATAACAAATAACAAGCTGTGGGTTGCATTAATCTCAGGCAATTTGGGGGGCAAATGGGGAGCTGTGACAGGTACCATACACAGAATCACAGACTAGCTGAGGTTGGAAGTGACTTCTGGAGGTCATCTGGTCCAACTACCCTGCTCAGCCAGCTCACCCAGAGCCAGTTGCCCAGGGATGTGCTCAGTCAGGTTTTGAATATCGCCAGGGATGCCGACGCCACATCTTCTTTGGGCAACCTCTTCCAGTGCTTGGTTATCCTCAAAGCAAAAAAGTGTCTTCTTGTATCCAGACTTATTTTCCTATTTTTTAATTTATGCCCGTTGCCTCTTGTCCTGTCACTGGACATGGCTGAGAGGAGTCTGACTCCCTCTTCTTCATTCCCTACCGTCAGGTATTTATACACAAGGATAAGATCCCCCTGAGCCTTCTCTTCTCCAGGCTGAACAGTCCGAGCTCTCTCAAGCTTCTCCTCATATGAGTGATGCTCTGGTTCCATAAACATTTTTATGTCCCTAGAGATCCAGAGGTGGGTGTTTTTCTACCTGTTACAGACATTTGATGTTCACTGCAGGGCTCACGGGTAGAGGCTCACTGAGGTGAGCTACCTCATATGAGTGATGCTACCCTCACTTCTCCTGAGGGGATGCCATTCCTTCTCCACCGGCAGTCCAGGAGATTCTCCTTCACCCCATCTGTGGAAGCTTTCTCTTGTGCCAAGAAAGGCCAAGATGCATGGCATGTGCTTCACGTGCTGGCACTGATTTCAGTGATGTTTGCAGTAGAGTGGAGCTGTGTTTGGTCCAATTCTGCAAGTGCTGTGCAGCCATGCAATGTCTTCCCATCCACAAAATGATGAGCCCTTCTTCAGCTCTTCTATAGCAAGTCTGTGTAGGGGAATCACTGAGACTATGGCGAACTCACAGTGAGCACAGTTGCTGAGGTTGCACCCATAGCTTAGTCCAACTGGGACCCCACTGCTCAGTGAGATGAAACAGGTGCTCCAAAGTCCCAGCTGAACTCACCTAGCAGGAGAGGGATCTGCTGTACATAGATCTGACTCAACCCCATAGGAATGCATAGAGCTGTGAGACAAGCCCCTGGTCTTCACAATGATGCCAATGATGAAGGCCAGGCGGAGCACGCCCACATCCTGGGCTTCTGCTCCAATGCACTCAAGTTGCCCATTGCCTTGGAGCTGAGTCACAGGCCACCCCTAACATCCGTCACACATCCTGTGGGGACTCCAGCCAGACCAGAGAGCTCATCGCTTCCCCCTGAATAAAGACATCTCAACAATGATTTCCCAAAAGGTCAAAGGCTAAAGGATCCTGCCCTCCTGCCATGGGGTCCATGTAACCACACAGCAATGTGCAAAGGAGGTCTTAGATGTCTAGGACTGGGGATAAAGGAGGTAGGGTCAAGTCCTGATTTGACGCTGTTACATTTGCCATGTAACTTTTGGAGGCACCATGTCCCACTTCTGGGCACCCCCAAGCTTTGCTAGACAAAAGCAGCAGTACCATGCAGCTCTCCACCTTCCCATTACTCTTGGGACAGGCTGTGACTTCGCATTGCCTTTGGTCCCCCAACTTGTTTGCTCCAGAAGCTCTTAGAATGTGTTGAGATGGACAGGAATGGGCAGAGAGCACCTGCTCCCCTGGAAGATACTTGCTTGGAATGTCACCAAGGGTGAGGATCCCTGGGGAAACGAGCCACATAGAAGAGCGAGATAAGGGGCCTTTGCATTCCCAAAGAAACCCCATCTCCCTGTCTGGTTCTACTCAGCATCTGTGAGCTGGTGAGCTCTGTTCATGGAGAAGTCCAACTGGGGCTGGCAGAGCAGCATCTGCATTACAAGAAGGCTGCAGCTCTTGGGTCACCTGCTGCCACGCTGTGGGCTGAGGTGCAGAGTGATGGTGTGGATGAACCTTGGGGTGTGCTCAGTGCAGTTGATCCACACCAGACATCACTGTCAAGATCTGCTCTCTGGGGCCCTCGGAAAGGCGCTGTGGGTCTGTGTGTCTGCCCTGCACAGGGGGATGTTTTACTGCTCCACGTTTTGCAGGGATCTGTGATACTCTGCATCTGCTGAGATACCACCAGCTCTGAGCCATGGCAGCCTCATGATTTCTTGTGGTGATTTCTTGTTCAACGTGTCCTTTGATTCCCATAACTGTGTTCTATATTTAGAGGCAGTTACAGTACTTCAATTTTCTTTCCAATTGCCTCTGAAGGAAGCTTGTATCTCTCTTCTTTTTTCCCCAGCTGGTTTATTTTTAGACCTCTCATTTCCAGTCATGTGTATTCCTAGGGTTTGGCCGTAAATATTTTACAGCAATTTTCACAGGTGGGGGGAGCCACTGAAGCCTCCTGCCAGCTCTGCTCTGCGTGTACGATGCCTTTGCTGCTCTTCCCAGAGGGGAGGGAATAGCTCTGTCAACACAGATGGGATGATGCAAGCAGGAGAGAAGCGTTGGTTCCTGGCTTTGGGATTGCAAAGCCTCACCCCTAGAAAAGCCCCTCTAAAATGAATTTAATGCCAGGTTGTGTCCAGGAGAAGGGTCCTGGCAGTGAACCAGCACTGTCCGGGAATGCTGTCTGAAACCTGGAGCAGCCATGCTGCCTGCTGGAGGGCCCGACACAGGCTAGGCTGAGCCAGAAAGGGCATTTAAGTACCTCCAGGAAGAGAAAAAGGTATGGCTGCTTAATTCCTCTGAGATGCTGCACTTCTCTCTTAGTGGTGTGTGGCTGAGGCCTTCACCTCCAGGGAGGGAAAGGGAGAAAAAAAACATTTTCTTCCTGGTCACAAGCCGAGGCTGCGGGTTGGTCAAACAAGGCATTTTTGGGTGGTTTCAATGCTCTCTTGTAGGTAAAATGCTCATCACATCTGCAGTGCACCCAGGCCAGCACTTGCGTATCAGGGCAAACTGAACGCAGCACGTGGTGGAACTGGACGTCAGACCAATTCTCTTTACCAACAGATTCAGCTTTATTGTTATTCTTTTTTACATGAGTCATTAGTCCATCATTTCAAATAAACTATCAAACTGTACAAAGAAACAGAGGTAAAAGAAGAGGTGACAAAGTTGGGCAGAGGTTTTTAGTGTTATGAACCATCATGGAAAACAGTAGTCCATAGGCTCTCAAATGTTAAAAGTCCAACTAAATCTTATTTTGTTTGTTTAAAAAATGCTGCAAGATATAAACAATAAATGACTGTAATCATCAGCTACAAGATCCTTCAAAACTGGAGCTTGATTACGGTGAATGCACCTAGGGGAAAGAAAAGCAATCTGAAACAAAGGACCAAACCAAACAGTGAAATAAATAAATAAAGTGTGGGAGGACAGCCGTGGCATTGAAATGCAGAGGAATCCCTTCTAGTACAACAGTAAATCATTGGACCACAGACAGCAGAAAGGAACAGAAACACAATTCCCCACTTAAAAGAGTATAGCATGTGCATCACAAAATGGAGGAAGTACAACAATGATGGGCAAGTGGAATCTATCCTGCACAGAAAGGTTCAGCTGGATCTGAAGTATGGCTCCAACTGTGCTTTGAAACCAAAGTGGCGGACACCATGGATGCTAAATAAGCAGCCACTTGGCCAGTTTGTCTGAAAAGCAGGAACATTAGAGGGATGTTTCACAGCAAAGCCAGAT